CTCTAAGCATGTCTTTCAAAATCCTGTCATTTCTTCACTGGGAGACCTTTGCTTCTTCTCCTGCTTAAGTTTCTGTATGTCTGAGTTGGTCAGACAACACAAATATTCTGACCTTTTAAATAACTTTTATAAGTTTTGTCTTAAAGAATGAAGGTTTTATCATCTCTGAGTATCCATGTGCTTGCAGAGCACTCATATTAGCTATTTAGAATAATAGTGCTGAAAGAGTCCTCAGGGCACTCAAACCTGCAGCAGTCAAGCTCAAGCCACAGTAAAAAGCAGAGCACAGCAGGCTTCCTAGGTGGCTCATGCAGTTGCTCCTAAGCAGCATCTTAGAGGACTATTTCATGAAGGGTGTTTTAGGAGAGAAGATGTAGTAGCTAGATGCTGAGGACCAAATCATACATTACTAATACTTACAGTGTAGTTATTTGGCAGCAGAGAAAAACATTAGAAAACAGAATATTTATTCCCTCCACTATTCCTTGTGCTACATTTTCTGTTAAGCTTACTTAATTTTATTATTCTTGTTAGTAAAAACAAATATCCAGTACTAAAGCATTTAGGAAACACAGCACTGCCCACACTTCAGGCCATTAAATCTTTGTAAATCAGCCCTAGAATATCAGCCTTTCCAGTACATCATTATCTTTGTGCATGGTGAGTTGCTCTAATTGCAAACTGCCTAGATGAGATCCCACCCATGCATTGTAAAATCATCACAAAGCATAATTGGATGAGTCTTAACCATTCTTGGCAGTAGTCAATCTCTTCTACCCCAGTGGCTTGTGAAGGTATTAAAGGAAAGGACAGCTTCAATGTGTATAAAAGAAGATATTGGCTACTTATTTTTACAGTGAGGAGAAATCTTTCTGTGGATTGGGAGGAGCGGGAAATCTCCAGCAATAAAACATGTCAAAAAAAAAAAAAAAAAAGGACCCAATTAATGACTCAAAAATGGTTTTTGTTTCAACTGCTTCACTTAAATGCCTGATGGTAGCCAAACACCACACTAACACATTTTTAAATTATTTTTTTTTCCTTGTATTTAAACTAATTTTTAAATCTGTCTTCAGTTCATGCCTACCTAAAGTGAGACAGGGTGCCTCCTCTCCTAAATTGGACTCATGGCCTTTTCTTAACTTCCTTTCAAATGTGTTAATGCAAACAGAAGACATGGCTCTCTGCACAATAACTGCAAAGGGCAACCCCTCATTGGGTTTTAATTCTCAGATAAACGTACACAACCTGCTGCACTGGTTGCCAGCATGTCTCAAGGACAGCCTTGAATCTATCAAAGGTATCTCCAAGATGAAGTTCATCTCCCATGCCAGGCAGCTGGTTCCCAAACTTAGCAGCTCTTTGGAAACCCATAAATGGACATCCCTCTCCTTGGATACTTGGCTCAAAGAGTTTAGTAAGGACTGTTTGCAGGGAAAGATCTGGATTGAAAGTTAGTGTCTGATATTACCTGCATGCTGCCTGTTTTTGGTGTATATTCTGACATTTTCCAGGTGCTCAGCAGCTTTGTGAGATGGACTGTTAGGAATGTAGATATAGTAGATAAGGATTTTTTTTAAAGTGTTTATTACTTTTGCAAATTTCTTGTTTACCTGTTCCTGCTGTGAAAACAAAAATCAATATAACATGGAGATGTTCAGATCTTTAAAGAGTCATAAAATAGGCATTGAAAAATCGCTGGCATAAAGAGGAAGGCAAAGAGGAGACCTCACTTTGTGTAAGCCTAGTGTCATGAAACATTTAAATCCTTTCAGAGTGTATGGCTTTCAGATCTCTCATGCACGTAAGTGTCAGACTGTCAGGTAGTTTTGCTTAGAGAATGTTGGCAGTATCTATTAAGTAGTTTCTGTTTCCTAAGAAACTTTCTAGTTAAACATTTCTCATCAGAAATCAAGCTTCATTCATCTCTTCATTCATCTCACTTTTATTAGGTACTGACCTAGCTGCTCAGGCAAGTGTGTAGGAAGGTCTGATCTCTTCTTTTTTGAGCTGGAAAACTTCCACGGCAATGTACCTATGCCTTTGGAAAATATCACTACCCATTATCCATTTCCATTCTTAGATAGAGAAAGTTAGTAAAAGCCAGCATTTACTGCAAGGACACTAAAAACATTTACTAGCCAATAGTGTTGTATTCTCTATGGAATATGTGTCTCAAAGAGAAAGGTAAATGGAAAGGGGAAGCAACTAATAGTATCTTACATATTTAGATAATTTTTCGGTCCTCAAAGCTTCCTGTGCCATTGTTTTCCCCCTAAGTATTTTTTAAAATTATTATTTCTGTTTGTTTGGAGTTTTTTTCCTAATAAATTCTTTTTTTTTTTTTTTTTTTTTACCTCATCTCACTAGGATGGAGCCCCTTTCAAGTGACTTCCTCTGTGCCTGTGTTAACACCCCTCTAGGGTGTTAACTGAGATTTCTCTGAATAGTTCTGTCCATCCTTCTCTGAAGTCTTTAATCCCATGAAAAATCTTTTAGTAGGGATTCCTACAGCTGCACTTACAGTTTCTGCAACTAAAATGCAATCCTCCTCTGGTACCCTCTTGGGTTATCCCCTGAGGTTGGTCCTAGATCCCAGACAGACTGTTCGAAATGGAATAAAACCACGACCATGCACCTGCCAGCCTGTGTTTTTCCCTCCTGTCCTGTAGGAACTAGAGCATCTCCCACTAGTTCAGGATTGTAGGCTGAATTCAGAGGGCTGAACTTTCCTCTGAAGTATGGGATTTCATTTTAGTGGCTTTAGTTTGAAATTCAAATGGTTTAAGTTTCTTTGCACTGAAATACGTTCTGAAATAGACTACTAAATTCAGATGACATACTACAGGAAGTCATCAGGTAGTGCCCTCTTTTGAATTTTCCCTGCACTGGGGAACACCAGTACAGTCATGTATAACTGGAGACTGTTTTCTAAATTTTCAATTCCCCAGAGCCGCACTGATGAATTTACAATCTTTAGTTACTTTAGCATTGTTATAGTTTTATTCCTACTTCTGTTGAGCCTTGTATTGTGGGGTTGGTTTCTGTGTATCCCATACTTTCCATTTCACCTTTTAAGGTAAAAACATTTAATTTATTTTAAAGTCTGTATTCTGCAGTTACACTTGTAGGAATGGCACTTCGCCATTCACTGTGATACTGAAATTTCCATTAGGTTCATAACTGTACCCTGGTTTACCAGTAGTACTGCCTTCTACTGTTGCACACTAACTAAGCTCCTGAATTATTTCCATCCTAGAGCAGAAGGGATAAATCTCCAGATACATGTGCTTCATTTGTTTCAAAGAATATAATATTAGGCAGAAGTTAAAAAAAAAAATAATCAGAAAATCTGACCATGTCAAATCAAATTAATTCAAGTAGCCTTTTGCATCTCTAAAAACACCAACATGTCCTCTCTCACAGATGTTAAAGTCCTGCATGCTCTCTTCTTTTATTTGTTTTCACCAGTACAAAAATAATTTTAGGCAATTCAGTGCAAGACCTTCCTGTCAGTGGCTTGCAGCAGTACAGAAAAGCCTGATCCCCCGGGCTTATTTTTGTTATGGGAAATTATTACACTGTAACATAGGCTAACTTGCCTTGGAACTGCTTGTTTTTTCATAGACCTTATTTCAAACTGAAACTCGAATTTTTTTTCCATTCATCATCATCATCATTTCTTACATTATTCCTCTAAATTTTAAACAGCCTTATTTGAATTGGTCTATGGGCTATCATATCCCCCCCAAATCCACACTTATGATCTGCCAGTCCACAAATTAACTTTCCAGTGAATGTTTAATCCCTTTAAAAAAAAGCATTTTTATGTAGATTTCAAAAAAAAGTTAGACTTATGAAAGCAGTCAAGCAGTCTCTGCATGTCTGTCCATCTAACCATTTAGCTATCTGGGATTTGCAACAGGATGTTTAAAAACCTGTTGACTGGTATCCTCCCTCTCCGGATGTGTAATGAAAATAAGCAGCTGTATAAGTGTCCCAGTGCAACAGGCTTGCCCACTGATGGGAGAAAAAAATCTACAAGCCTTTGTAGACATATGAGAATCCACTTGGGAATGAGCAAGCAATAATACCCAAACTGCAAGAAACTCTTCAGTCAACTTGCATGATACAAGAATTTGATGGCAGAACACAGATGCAAACCTTGCTGTTCCTGCGGTTTGTGGATTGCGCAGTGGCTGGGGACGTTGAAAGAGTTGTTTGGGAGGAAAGTCTCTTCTTTTGACATTCTTTGAGGAGTCGCTAGTTGATGTTTACTTAGGTGGTGTCATTAATGTTGATGTTTAAATAAGTAAGACAGAATAGGCTCTAAAGGCCCCTATTTTTCCTTATCAGCTGTGAAAACAGCTGTCACAGATATAAGCTTCTGCATTGCAGACACAATGCACATACAGTCCAATGCATCCCACTTCCATCAGCTATATGTAGGACCTTTTTGGAGGGAGGATTTTGTCTGTCACTACATCATGCTCAAATCCACTGATGTAGCTGTTTAGGGGCCCTAGGTTCATCCCCTACCACCACAAGGGAACAAGGTCTGCTCCAAATCACAGTGGTGGGAGTAGGTCCAGCATCTGTTACTATGATTGTGCCAGTGCACTCCAGAGAATGACCACGCAACTCAAACAGTGCTGTCGTGGGGGAAAATGTGCTCAGTAGAGAAAAGCACCTGGCCATCCCTAGCAGGACTATCTGCCTCCCTGTGTGAATCATTTTTGATTTCTTAAAATGTGTGACTCCAGCTATTTATTTTTGTAGGAAGACCTACTGTGTGCTAACAGGTAAGCTTCAGAAGTGTGTATGTCAGTAATTTAGCCCAGCTAGTTCCTGAATTAGGTGTGTTGATCAAGTGCTTCAGAAGAGACTTTTTAGTACCATATGTGGCTTGGTTGTGAGCACAACCCACCTTGCTGCTGTTGCAACGTGAATGGGCTGGGCTGTCATTGCACTCTAAGCTCTGCTCCTTTCCATGATTGCAGGATTTCACACTCCAGCCTCCGGGGATGCCAAGGGAAGCAGTATGGAGCAGAAGCGCTCCTGTGGGCCTCAGTAAACATGAGATGGCTATCTCAAGCGGCAGGCACTGGCAGGGCAAGGCTGACCCTTTCAGTGTGGTAGCTGCTTCCTTGGTGAGCCAACTGCCTGACCAGCAGAAGACAAGTGAGTCACCTCTCAGCTGGTTCAGAGGAGTGTATTTACCCCCTGCACTGCACCCACTGAACAAGACATTAGTCAAGGGTAACAAGTGGAAGGATGCAGATAGCACCCAGGAAAAGCGCAGGTCATTCCTGCATGACTTCTGTAAGAAGTACAACAGCAGAAAGAAGCTGCAAACCCACCTGGTGCACCTGGTGTCGAGAATTTACGTGGAGGACAGGCACAAAGTCCTGTACTGTGAAGTGCCAAAAGCAGGCTGTTCCAACTGGAAAAGAGTCCTCATGGTGCTCAATGGACTCGCCGCTTCAGCACACAACATTTCCCATGATGATGTGCACTATGGAAAGCACCTAAGGAAACTGGACAGTTATGACCTAAAAGGGATATACACACGCTTGAACATGTACACCAAGTTTATATTTGTACGTGATCCTATGGAAAGACTGGTATCTGCCTTCAGGGATAAGTTTGAACATCCAAACAGCTACTACCATCCAGTATTTGGGAGGGCAATAATTAAGAAGTATAGACATAATGCAGATGAAGAGGCTCTGAAAACAGGTTCGGGAGTTAAGTTCAAGGAGTTTATCCAGTATTTGTTAGATCCTCATCGACCAGTAGGAATGGACATTCATTGGGAGCAAGTGAGTAAGCTCTGCTACCCCTGCCTCATCAACTATGATTTTATAGGAAAGTTTGAAACCCTGGAAGAAGATGCCAATTACTTCTTGCAGCTGGTAGGTGCTCCCACCGATCTGAAGTTCCCTAAATTCAAAGACAGACATTCCTCTGATGAGAGAACAAGTGCAGAAGTAGTGAGGCAATACTTAAAGGAATTGTCTAAGGAGGAGAGACAGCTGACCTACAACTTCTATTACCTGGATTACTTAATGTTCAATTATACATCACCAATTGTATAGCACTACAATAGCTTCAGGCTTCTATTAGATATTTATCATTTTGGGATTCAAAACAACTACTTTGATATTAGCCCTGAAAGGAAACAAAGTTACTGCTAAGTGGAGTTTTCTTGACTTAGTGGGGATTTTATAAGCTAGAGTGGTATCAATTGACATTAAATTATAGGAGAATGCACAGAAAAGAAGACCTGTTAACAGCATAAATTGCACTAAAATGCCTAAAAAAGCTGCTTTTATGATTGTGGATTATACTATGGGAGTGGTAGCTCAGCCAGCTGTCGCATTATCTTACCTAATGTTCTTTTAATGTTTTAAGAAGAAAACATTCAGAGTAGCATAATTCTTTTTTGGTGCTTCTCCTTTAGAAATTGTTTTTGAAACAACTTTTGAATGTATTTTTACTTTCTGTCAGTTATTAATAAAGAAGGATTGGCTAATTTTCTAAAATGTTTGCAGCATCCTCAGTTGCAAGGCTTGGTTGTTTGATTATCATTAAACTGTAGCCATTTTTAGACCTGATTTTTTTTTTTTTTGTTGAAGGATGCACTTGAATACAAATGCATCAAGCTTCAAATAACACAACAGCTCAGCTGACAAGCAGAGTAAATTTGGATAAGCCTGTGAAATGCCAGTCCACTACCCCATTTTGATTCATGCACTGGAGCTGACAAATATGAGAGATAGTGCATATTTTCTCTCCTTTCAGAGAACAGCCGCATTCATATGATGTATGGATACTGTGGTCCCAATATTCAATATAGTCTTCATTTTTGGTGATAGAGCAAAGTTTTAGTGTGGCAGCTATGGGACACTCTAAGGTCTGTACTGAGAAGAAACTTCAATGCAAATGCTGTGACCATTCTTGGTCTGCCAGGGTCCAATAATCAGCCCTCCTCCCAGCAACTTGTAACAGACAAGGTGTGTATGCCCATTGCCTCCCAAGCCCATAAACTAGTTCTTCCTTCAGAGCTTCCTGAAGGCAGCTGTGTTTTGCTGTCTGTCCTGCCTCCCTTGTCAGAAGCCAGCAAAACCCAGGAGTGGGGTGGATGCTTCAGTTACATGTGGTGGAATGTGTATTGGTGATTTGTCCTAGAGGCAGGTTTGTCCAGAGTCTCACACAGTCACCAGAGTCCTGGTTATAAAAGGAAAAGGTACCTTCTATATTCCCCTTTCCTCTCCTTCCTATAAGTGCTGCCTAACCAATGCATGCAGTTGTTTCTGAAACCTACATTGCGGGATGGGTTGCCAGGGAGTCCCAGGAGGAGGAGAAATCTCTGAAAAATCATAGGATCATGAAATAATTGAAAAAGACTTCTAAGATCATCGAGTCCAACCATTAACCTAACACTACCAAGTCTACCACTAGATCATGTGCCTAAAATGGGTAGGAAAAATCTCTATGCCCTTCTGCAATAAAGATGTCACCTGTTCTTTGCTTTCTGGTGTGGTTTAGGTCATCTTACTCCTGTGTCTTGATATAGCAGGTTGTAGAATAAGGAAACAGCCTGATGGGAAAGTGATGCAAGTAAAATGTCCTCTGTTCCCAACCACTGGTCACAACTAGTGCAATTATTGCAGTCTTTTCCTTTATCTCTGGCAAATGTAGAGCTTCAGTCCTTCCACAGCAGTAATTGTGGGTCCCTGCTGAAAGGGCAGACCATTTCCTATGTACCCTTGCTGCTTGTTTCTCCTTCAGTTTTCTCCTCAGAAGAGGAAGAAAGCCACCTCCAGTCTCTTTGGTGCCAGTGTGTAATTGAGCAGGCTCTGCATGTCTCTCCTTGTGGCAGGACAAGCCACTCCAAGGGATAAAGTTGAAGGTGATGCTATTTGTGACTAGCAGCACCCATAGCTGAAACCAGCCTCTTCCCTGGGACTATAGAGCAAAGAGGAGAAGGAAAAATCCTTCATCACCATGAGCTGTTGCAGTGTGGTATGTGTCATCATCATGAAGGAGGTGCAGATGTTCAGTACCAATAAGTTGCAAGGATGCCTTGGACAGGTAAATACACACTCTGTCACTTGTGTGAGCTCTTGCTGTGCCTGGATGGACCTACAGGTGTTAACAGCAGAAGTGTCTGGGAGTGGATATCTGACAATCGGACTGCCCCAGTTCATGTTTTTCCTCAGTAGTATGCATCCTTTAAACACAAGATTTTGTTTGACTCCAGGCTCTCCTGGCAAGAATCCCTTCACATTTTCCCATTCCAGCCACACTATGGGGGCATCATGCTGGAGAGGTGGTTCCTTACAGCTGATGTCATACCGGACACCAGTACATTGCCACTCCAGTGTTGTGCACCATGCTGGTTAATGGCTCTTAACAAGTTCCCACGTGTCTTTACCCAGCAGGATTTATTTTATATTTAACTTGGCCGTGCACTTTCATGACTGTTGCTCTCCAGTGAGACTATGCATTAAGGACGTTAAAGAGAACCTCCTGACAGTTTTGATTTTCTATCATCCAACCTCCTAACTCGTGGAAAAAAATGCCTTGGTTTTCACTTGGATTTGACCTTGTTTTGATTCTCTGCTCTTGTAAGTATTGAATTCAGCCTTAAATCCTGAGTGGATCTTTCTTGCTTTATAGAAAGGCCATTGAAGTTATTTAATAAAAACTAAATTTACACCAACCTTTTGATGTCTGTATATTTGCTTTGACTTGTCTGTTGTGGATGTGTGTAAATCAATTGTTAATTTGCAGACAAAAAAAATTACTTGTGTACTAATTTTTTCAAAAAAAAATGAGGAAAAAAAATTTTAACATGCTAATAAAGAATGGAAGCCAATCTATATATGAGTTTTGTATGAATATTTTAATTCAGAGAAATAAATACTAGTAAATGGCAAAGTCTCTGAAGAACTTAAGGTTCACATTGAGCATGTTCTAGTGACAAACTTTCAGCCTATCTGATCAGAGAATGCCAGAGACTTGGGGGGCGGGGGTGAAGGTGTAATTACATTGAAAAAGCCCATACAGTCTCATAGCATTTTATCTACTAACTGGTCTCAGATAAAGCTATTGTTTGAGTCAAGGAGAGGGTTGAAAGAAATTATTAGCAAATGTTTGGTTTCTGCAAATGAGAGGGTAAATGACATTGATTTGCATGCATGCCTGGACATGGACATCAGGTCCCCAGACTGTCATCTTGAAAATCTGGTATGGTTTGCATTTGTGATTTAACAGGGGAGGACACTAGTTAAGGCCTTTAAAGCATGTATGTACACAGAAGCATAACTGTTTTAGCAGCACTGTTGTTCTATGGCTCTAGTGAAAGTAATTTAACTTCTCTGTATGCTCAACTTCAGATTTCATAGCCCCTAACTGCACTTAAAAATTCATTTTTTGAAAATCTAACCCAGACATTTGTAAAGAAGAGCCTCTCCGTAGTCATCTTCAGCGACCTAAGGGATTCAGATGATCTCAGTAGCAGAATCTAGATTGTACTTTGCCTCATTAACCACATTTTGAAAATCACCAGCCTGCTTTGCCAGGAATTAAGTTACATGATTTAAAATTAACATAAGAGTTTAGCATAATTGAAGTGGGACTGTGATATCTGACTTATGGGATTATAAGAGATAAAGGCATAATTTGCAGCATAAAAGATAACCTCTATTTTTAAAAGTAAATTTTAAAAGGTCAGAGTGTGAGGTTGGGTTGTAACTTTTTTTATATTTTGTAAGAATGCTAACCAAAACCAGAAACTGAAGGTCATCTGCTATAATTGGTATAAAATCCCATCTTCACAACTGTGCACAGATGTTTGTTTTATTCAGAAAATTCTTTTGAACGTATGCAGAAGAGGAATGAAAATACACTCCACAACATTTGGTGCAATTGCATTTACACTAGAGATCAGCTGCAGCGTGCAGAGCCTCTTTTAAGGGGCTTCATTACAGTAAATGCTTTTTAGTTATGAACGTTTCTTCATTTGAAGATCTCTAAGCACTTCTCTAATGCAGGTCGGTTGTCAGAGCAAGTCAGATGTGCTGTAAAGGCATTACTGCAAGTCTGTGGGAGGGCTGGAGTAGCAGGAGAGTGCTCTCTTGGCTCATGTGTCTCTTCTAAACACCAGACAGGCGTGCTTTCCTCCTAAAATTAAAATGTGACTTTTGGAAACTAATGTTCCATATCTGCCTTCCTTCTAAAATGAAATGGTATTAAATAAAAATGAATTGTTTTATTTAATAATAAGGGGTTTAAATAATTAATAAATAAAATAGCAATAAATTAAAAATAAATTAAATTAAAGTCCATAGGTGTGCATTCTCAAATTCTGATACACTTGTCAACATTAGGCAGCTTCTTTTTTGGGGGTAGGATTTGGCTTACAAAGCTCAGACACAGACATTGTACCCATCTCTTCTAAAACTGCTGGTGAACTGTTGCTTGCTGAAGTCAGAGGTGTGCAGCCACAGTGCAATCAAACACGACACATACTCTTGAAATGTCCTCTGGTGGAACTCCCCCAAAAGGCCAAATTTATTGGAGCTACTCCTGCCTCAGGCTGTTCTATCTTTGTGATGTGTCATTGGAGATCACGACTTTAATTTTAGATGTAGTTTAAATTTAAATGAAAATTGCAATATGACACTTTGCACTTTGAAAGGAAAATATTTTACTAGAGCTTTGTATTGTATATGTGGGTTATGTATAAAAGTCTTTGTTGTATGTGGCTTCAGGCTAACAATACATCAGATAAGTCTTTTTAACTGTAATGCTAAAACCAGTTTATCAGCTTTATAACCTCCTGTGATGCCTTCAAAACTAATTTGCTCTCAGAACCTAAAGTCTGAAATCAGACCATAAATTATACTTCATTGGAATTACAGATGCACCTGTCCTGTATCAACCAATTCATGTACAGTTCAGAGGGCAGGGCAGGTACATAAAGTACCGGGAGGTGGAACTGTCTGACTTAGCAGAGGACATCTGTTCATATCCCCAGTTGCCTGGGATTGCTTTGCCTTCCAAACTGTGTCCAAGTGGGTGGATGCAGGAAACAGTCATATTATTTAGTTTAATGAGAACATCGTAGATTATTTGATATTAATAAAAATATCTGTTTTGTGGGAGAACAGCTGAGCTCTGAACAGTCGAGCTCTGAACTGTAGCTAATTGCAGTGAGTCCCACATGTTTCTTCTATTTCAGATGTAGCTCTGCTTGTGGCTGAAGTGACAGACTTGGACTTCAAAGACCTGGATCTTCCTCCAAGTTCTGTAACTTCATAGACTTGTTGGACAAACATGAAATTCTCTGTGCCTTGGTGTCCTCATTGGTAAAGAAGTCCTGTAAATGGAAGGGAATTATACCATGTGCCTTCTCCTAAAATCATTGAACTATGTGGATAAAGAGCTGTGGTTAGAAATTAGGTACTGGTATGGAATTTAACTCCTAGGATATTCATGGACTTTCTTTATGTTTTACTTCCAATAGCTTGGAGGAAGCTGGGGACTTCCCAGTTTTGCTCCAGCTGAGAAGCATATCATTCTGCTCTGTTCTGGGCAATTGGCAGGCTTAAGAATGCAAGCTCTGTTTCAAAAGACTGTGCATCTGTCAAGCCTATCCAGGCACTGCCTCAGCATAAAACCAGTGCCAGGTTGTCTGACCAGGGGCAAGTGTCCCTCCGGTTCCTCTGGTACAGAGGAAAGCAGACAGAGACAGGATGAGAATCTTGCTGTCGCATTTTACTCTGAACCCAAATAAAAGAGAAGC